GATGATCTGTAAATCTGGGAGGATGATCTGTAAATCTGGGAGGATGATCTGTAAATCTGGGAGGATGATCTGTAAATCTGGGAGGATGATCTGTAAATCTGGGAGGATGATCTGTAAATATGGGAGGATGATCTGTAAATCTGGGAGGATGATCTTTAAATCTGGGAGATGGGAGGATGATCTGTAAATCTGGGAGGATGATCTGTAAATCTGGGAGATGGGAGGATGATCTGTAAATCTGGGAGGATGATCTTTAAATCTGGGAGGATGATCTGTAAATCTGGGAGGATGATCTGTAAATCTGGGAGGATGATATGTAAATCTGGGAGATGGGAGGATGATCTGTAAATCTGGGAGGATGATCTGTAAATCTGGGAGATGGGAGGATGATCTGTAAATCTGGGAGGATGATCTTTAAATCTGGGAGGATGATCTGTAAATCTGGGAGGATGATCTGTAAATCTGGGAGGATGATCTGTAAATCTGGGAGATGGGAGGATGATCTGTAAATCTGGGAGGATGATCTGTAAATCTGGGAGATGGGAGGATGATCTGTAAATCTGGGAGGATGATCTTTAAATCTGGGAGGATGATCTGTAAATCTGGGAGGATGATCTGTAAATCTGGGAGGATGATCTGTAAATCTGGGAGGATGATCTGTAAATCTGGGAGGATGATCTGTAAATCTGGGAGGATGATCTGTAAATCTGGGAGATGGGAGGGTGATCTGTAAATCTGGGAGATGGGAGGATGATCTTTAAATCTGGGAGGATGATCTTTAAATCTGGGAGGATGATCTGTAAATCTGGGAGATGGGAGGATGATCTGTAAACCTGGGAGGATGATCTGTAAATCTGGGAGGATGATCTGTACATCTGGGAGGATGATCTGTAAATCTGGGAGATGGGAGGATGATCTGTAAATATGGGAGGATGATCTGTAATTCTGGGAGGATGATCTGTAAATCTGGGAGGATGATCTGTAAATCTGGGAGGATGATCTGTAAATCTGGGAGGATGATCTGTAAATCTGGGAGGATGATCTGTAAATCTGGGAGGATGATCTGTAAATCTGGGAGATGGGAGGATGATCTGTAAATCTGGGAGATGGGAGGATGATCTTTAAATCTGGGAGGATGATCTTTAAATCTGGGAGGATGATCTTTAAATCTGGGAGGATGATCTGTAAATCTGGGAGATGGGAGGATGATCTGTAAACCTGGGAGGATGATCTGTAAATCTGGGAGGATGATCTGTACATCTGGGAGGATGATCTGTAAATCTGGGAGATGGGAGGATGATCTGTAAATCTGGGAGGATGATCTGTAAATCTGGGAGGATGATCTGTAAATCTGGGAGAATGATCTGTAAATCTGGGAGGATGATCTGTAAATCTGGGAGGATGATCTGTAAATCTGGGAGGATGATCTGTAAATATGGGAGGATGATCTGTAAATCTGGGAGGATGATCTGTAAATCTGGGAGATGGGAGGATGATCTGTAAATCTGGGAGGATGATCTACAAATCTGCCTTAAGAGTGACAGGGGTGCTTGGAAAATGGGATGCGGGCAACGTGACCTAGATCTGGGGCAGGCGTTACAGACTGACCAGAATGGGATTCATAGGACAAGTTTCATGACTCCAGCAGACGATCTAATGGTTGGCTGATTTTGGGCGGGTAACTCATGTTTTACTGTAGTCATGACCAGAAGATCTGGTAGTGGGCTGTTAGTGGGCTGCTAGTGGGCTGCAGAAGATGGTAACTGGTAAATGATATTTCTTTGTTGATATATAATCGATATAGAAAGCAGTTTAATCAGTGTATTAAGCCTTGTGTAGCGGTCTATTTTCTTAACCAGGGGTCGCCTCATTCGCTCTTCTCTATCCATGGCACTTCCAAGACTCACAGAATACCACGCACCCATGTGTGGATACCAAGACTGATGTGTGTGTATGTGTGTGTATGTTTGCATGTGTGAGTGTGTGTGTATGTATGTGTGTGTATGTTTGTGTGTGAGTGTGTGTGTAATTATGTGTGTGTATGTATGTGTGTAAGTAAGAAATGAATTTTCTGTCCCTTACACAGAAAGACAACTCCAAGTGCTACATAACCCAACAAACCAGTGTATTATTAAAAAATGTAACTTTATATGCTATGAAATGCGGGTGTTAAGGGTTTTCAGAAATAATAATTATATTTATTTTAATTTCTAAACAACAAAAACTTCTTGAAGAAGTTACTTACAAAAAAAATTGTTCCTAACTCGTAACAAAAATGATTTGTAAAAAAAAAAAAAAAATTCCGCTAACTGATGATGAATGTTGATCTGTAAGGATTCAGCAAATACGTGGCTAACTAATGATGAAGGCTACGTAACGCTAATTAAGACGTTCTAAGCAAAACGCGGGAGCTATGTCTTGAGATGCGAGAGGCAGACATACCTCAGCCTTGAGTACGTCTCGTCTGATTAGCGAATGTTGTTTCTACAGATAAAATGCTTTTATAATCGGCGATTAATAAAATGTTGATAGGGAGAGAAATCATATCCTTGCTGCTCGGCTATGACAGGTGTGTTTGTAGGTGTGTGTGTTTGTAGGTGTGTGTGTTTGTAGGTGTGTGGTATGTTTACTGTTTAGGAGTGTGTTTGTAGGTGTGTGTGTTTGTAGGTGTGTGTATGTAAGTATGTTTGTAGGTGTGAGTTAGTGTTTATGGGTGTATTGTGTTTTGTAGGTGTGTTTTTTGTAGGCATATATGTTTTTAAGCATGTGTGTTTGTATGTGTGTATGTTTGTAGGAGCGAGTATTTGTTGGAGTGGATGTTGTGTGTTTTTATGTGTTTGTACGTGTTTTAAATAGTGTGTGTGTGTGTGTTTTAAGTAGCGTGAGTTTGTAGGTTATGTGTTTAGGTGCATGTTTGTACGTGTGTGTGTTTGTAGGAGTGTGTCTGAAGGTACGTGTGTGTACGTGTAGGTGTAGGTGTGTTTATTTCCTTGTTCAGCCTCACTCAGTGCTAAGGTGATCCTATGGGAGGTCAGACAACAATTCCAACAAGCCATCCCCGAGTCCACTCAGCTCTAATGGGTACCTAACTCGGCATATGGGTGGCTGTGCACAGAACTGTCCACACTACCCCTCTATATGCCAAACCCACTGTAACCGGTGAACTCTACTTCCTTTGCCCTACATGCCAGTAGAAGAGCGTGATATAGACTTTTTAAATGGATGACTGAGGTATCATAGCTTTTGTCAGCTAAATGGATCGAATAAATAAACGTAGACACATATTGAATAAACAAACGTAGACACATATTGAATAAACAAACGTAGACACATATTGAATACAAAAATAGAACAGTTGGAGTGGACTGGATTAGAACCCACGACTACCCGCATCAAATGACTTATTTTTGTTCTATTCATAGAAGGTATCTATGATTGCTCAATGTTTTCATGTGCTCAAATAGCTTCAGCTTAGGTCTATTAATTTTGGCGATAATATAGGCCTATTGTTTTAAAAGTAATTAGTAAACATTTGTAGGGAGCAACTATGTAATTAATAACGAATAAAACCGTATTGACAAAGTCAATAAAGGCTATTTAAACGTGTCCGGTTGGTTGATCTAAACATCAAAACTAATGATAGTTCAGAGGATCGTTTGAAGGATAGTTATCGATCTAAATCTCTATTGAATTCTCTATTGAATTTATTGCTTTTATTAGCCCATAGAGCTCAATGTGTTTCTTTAAAGACAAAAAGACCCTTTGTCTTAAGTCACAAACTGTCTAAGATGACTAGACTGATATTTGCCTATTAACTGTTGTGTAATTGGCTTTATTGTGTAATGTTTTATTTTTTAGCTAGGGTAATCGAATGAAGTAGTGTAAAAAAATCAAAGCTTGCTTATTGGTGTAAAGAATAAATCTCTTATATCGTGTATAGCAAGTTTCTGGTTAGTAGGATAACAATGTTCCCTACCCTGGCTAGTTAGGATGATAACAATGTTCCCTACCCTGGTTAGGGTGATACCAATGTTCCCTACCCTGACTGGTTAGGGTGATAACAATGTTCCCTACCCTGGTTAGGGTGATACCAATGTTCCCTACCCTGGCTAGTTAGGATGATAACAATGTTCCCTACCCTGGTTAGGGTGATACCAATGTTCCCTACCCTGACTGGTTAGGGTGATAACAATGTTCCCTACCCTGGTTAGGGTGATAACAATGTTCCCCACCCTGATTATGGTGATACCAATGTTCCCTACCCTGACTGGTTAGGGTGATAACAATGTTCCCCACCCTGATTATGGTGATATCAATGTTCCCTACCCTGACTGGTTAGGGTGATAACAATGTTCCCTACCCTGATTATGGTGATACCAATGTTCCCTACCCTGACTGGTTAGAGTGATACCAATGTTCCCTACCCTGACTGGTTAGGGTGATAACAATGTTCCCTAGTTAGAGTGATACCAATGTTCCCTACCCTGGTTATGGTGATAACAATGTTCCCTAGTTAGGGTGATACCAAAGTTCCCTACCCTGACTGGTTATGGTGATAATAATGTTCCCTACCCTGGTTAGGGTGATAACAATGTTCCCTACCATGACTGGTTATGGTGATACCAATGTTCCCTACCCTGGTTAGGGTGATACCAATGTTCCCTACCCTGTCTGGTTAGGATGATAACAATGTTCCCTAGTTAGAGTGATACCAATGTTCCCTACCCTGGTTAGGGTGATACCAATGTTCCCTACCCTGTCTGGTTAGGATGATACCAATGTTCCCTACCCTGGTTAGAGTGATACCAATGTTCCCTACCCTGACTCAACGTCAGGTGAGATGGTGCGCTCCAAGGTAGGCTCCGCCAACCCTGACCCACTCCCACCCACCTCTCCCGTTTGTGGGACCAGCTTCTGTGCGCCCGCCCTCCCGTCCCCCTCCCCCCGTGTCGCTGCGCGGATCCCCTCCCATAGCACGGTGGAGGAAGTCGCGACGCCTGCCGGGATTTAGGCTAGCCCAGAAACCGGACTGTTGTGTAGTTGTGAGAAAGCTACGCGGGTGTGTGTGTGTATTCTATTTGACTGTGGACTGCTAGTCAACTGGAGTTAACGAGTTGAAAACACGGTAAGTTTGCCGGGGGTTTTCTTGCATGCACCACTCTACTTGATACCAGTAGGTCCACTTTAAACTCGATTGGCCTATCTGAAACTTGTGCAATTTTTTAAAATTCTTTAACTTTTGTCTTTAAACTCTACGTTAGTCGTTAGATTTAATTATCATTTAATCTAGAATCTAGATATCTAAAATCTAGAATCTTGTCAGTGCCCAATCACTAATCTCAGACTAATCCGAGTTATCAGTCTAATAAAATGACTAATGCCTAACTAAAGTCTAGTGCTGCTAGCTAATCACTGTTACTAGAATCTCGATCTAGATCTAGATTTAATTATCTAATAATCTAGTCTAGATCTAGAATCTAGTGAGATCTAGATCTAGTAGTTACTGCTAAACTCAACAGTAACAATTAATACACATACACCCACTGACCATCTTGCTTCTTCTAGTTTACCACTCAGTCGTATTTGTGATGTTCCCACTTAATCTTTAAATTGTGTTGATCTGCGATAAATCTACACAACACGATTGTTTAGACCTGTTTATTAGAGAATCAACAGCCTATCGGCTAGTCCTATAACTATAATACTCATAGTAGGCCTTTACTATTAGGCCTATACTTATATAGTAGCGAGGCTCACTAACTTTAAAGCGTCCTTGGTTGCTAACCAGAACATGGCTACCTCACCTGGGCCTACGATTGGGCAATTTTTACTGCTTTGTTCGAGAGACCACCTTAACATTAAGTTTAAAAATAATTATCACGCGAAAAATGGCGTTTTTTTCGCGTATTTTAAGCTATCTGAAGATGACAAAGCTATTTTTGGCAGATTTTTTTTTTAAAAATTTGCTTCCGACCATGGAGGTCAAGCGGAAACATGGGTATAGTTTGAGTTGTTTAAAAACTTTAAATAAAGGACTGTTACGTGTCTAAATGGCACTGTAAGGTAGAGTATTATTAGATTGATCGTTTAGTGAAAAAATATTGTAATTATTTTGAATCCATTTTAAGAAATCGGCAGCCAAAAAAGGTCACTGAAAGCACGTAATTTTTTATTGTGACGTCATCGCTATTGTTACGGAAGCTGTACAGTAGTATTCTCTCGCTGCTTATATATTATATAATTGTATTCTTTTCACTTGACACTCTTTTTCAGCTTATTTTGCTAGCGTAATTAGACTAATTAAGCCTAATTATGGATATTTCACCTGGCTTTTGGATTATACTAAGACTCTAAAAGCCCTTAGCCTTAAACCACAACGATCTGTTTGTTTGTTTTTTTTTAAATTTTGTGTTGATCCCTGGGGAATTTGTAGTGAGCGTTGGTCTTTGTGTGCTTATTTAGGCCTAATTATTTGTTTTCAAATTTGTTATAGCTTAATTAATTTGTCTTAATTCTTATTGATTTCATAAATTTTAATTAGGTTAATTATAATATTATTTTCACTGGTCTTCGTTGATACATTTATTAGGCTTAGTAATGTTTATATTATATAAATATATTTATCAGGGGCGTAGCGAGGGGGCGGGGGTGCGGACCGCACCGGGTGACACCATTTAGGGGGGGGGTGACACCAAGGCAAAAAATAGCAAAATATATAGAGAAAAACTTGAGGGGGGATGCAAATCGAAAGTTTGAGGGGGGGGGGTGCTAATCGAAAATTTGTCCCCGGGAAGGGTCGCTACGCCTCTGGGGGGGGGGGGTGACACCATTAAGTGCCGCACCGGGTGACACCCGACCTCGCTACGCCACTGATATTTATATATTTTATTATATATTATTAAGATTTTAGAGGCCTGATAAATTAAATGATTTTAGCGTTGAGTCTAGGTTTACATTACTAATTAGTACTTAGTAAACCAAGTACGCATGGACTAGGACATGTGTGTGCTGTGCCGGCGGCGTTGTGGCGGGCGATGCCTCTCGCGCTGACAAACCAGCGCGAGCGAGCGAGTCGTGTGTCACACTTGGCCTGTGTCGACGTTTGGAATGCATAGGCATAGGCCTAATTCTCGCTCTCGGGTGATTAATTTTTATGCGCTGACATTTGAAAAATCAAATAGACACACATCTTAATTAAATACATTTAATTTGAACTTTATATTAATCTAGACCTATAATACTAATTAGGGCCTATAACTTGGGATAACAAAGTACTTGGACTAGATTTAGCGCATGCGCACACTGTGCTGTGAGTTTTCTCTCGCTGGTTGACAAAAGAACGCAGGCGGGCTAGCGATGTTTGTAATTTGCATATATCTTCGCTCACAGGCGATCATTTTAATGCGATTGGCCTCTTTTTATTTTATAGGCCTAATTAATTGTATTTGATAGGCTAACTTTTCTGGTTGACAAAACTAAGCGAGCGAGATGTCTGTCACGCGCACTGCCCGTGACGCTGTTTAGAATGTATTTCTCGCTAACTTGATGAATTTGAATGCTATTGCAGTGTTTTTTAAAATAAATCAAATACTTACAAATCTTTACATTTTAAACTGAGCATAGACAAAACTTTGTAAATAACACACCTGTCCCAAGTGAAGTGAGAGAAGAGGGTTAGATTAATTTTACAATGACATCGCTATATTTTATGAATTGCCCTAATTAAGCATTGCTAAAACACTTACACTAGTTAATAAAACATGCATGTGATTGAATATCTTTAAAAAGATTAGATCTATACTAACTATATATTCTTGAACATGTTGTTCATTAATTTGAATTTAGTTTTCCTTTTTAAACACCCTTCCATTTAAAAAAAAATTAAACAAAAATATTTAAAAATTCTAGATCTAATTCCATTATGTGATTTTTTATTCTGACGAAGACAGTGTCCATACGAATAGAAATGTGGTAATAAAATCAAATGTACTGTGCATATTCTGCTAAAATCAAATCAGCTGCAAGGTCAAACCTGCAGAGTTCGTCTCTTCAGAAAAGTAATGGCGATCTGGTTGTCACGGATTATTTGGCTTGCAATGCTTGGAGTGGCCAATTAATAAAAATCAGTAATTAAGCTCCAAATGAGTTTATTTTCAACAAATTAAGTATTTGATTGATTAGAGATTGATCTCTAGTTTCCATTGGTAATGTTTAAATCGAAAAATAACGAAATTTAAAATTAGTGAGTATCTCTATTATATAGACCTCTTAGTAATACTATTACTAGAATTGGGCCTCCTAAGCTTTTGTTGTCAGTTTTCTCACTTTGAACACTTTACTTAGTGTGTATGTAGGCCTATAGTATAGTTACTAGATCTCTAATAGTTAGGTCTATAGGCCTAAATACTTACAATAGGGCCTAGTTATGGTAAATATTAATAATAATATTATATAATAAATTATATTATAGATGATCTCTCCTCCCCCATAATCAACACACTGGGGTTGGATTCTCCCTAACCTAAAGCACAATGAACTTTACCCTTTTAAAATTTAAATGATCTCCCTTGTCTCACGGGTAGCGCTTGAAAGAGTCGGATGGAAATTGGACGTGTCTAGGTCTAAATCATTGTTTCTTCCAGACTTTTTTCTCTGGGGGGACGGGACACTGTTAAAAGTATATATTTTCTATAATAAATTCCGGAGCCCCCCCCCCGTCCATGAGATGCCTGGAAGAAATGGAAGAAACGCATCTAAATGTTCTTTGATAAAGTGTGTAACGCTACTGGTACTAGATCTAGTCTACTTGTATTCAAACATTTGGGTTTTAATTTCACAGGGTTTATTTTCAAAAGGGTGTAGGCTACTTTAAAGCCTTTTTGACATTTCTTTTAAAGAGCTAGTGTAGTTGTTAGAGTATATATCTATTGAGACTATTGTATATTAAACAGGCATTTATAGCTAGACAGGCAATACTACACGCTGTCTTATAGTGTTATTAACTCTAACGTAAGAGAGGCTCTTTCCCCCCATCCCCCCCCCCCCCCCAAACCTCGCGCGCCTTCCACCACATACCAAGTTGAAGGTTTAATTCAGCGGGTGATGAACTGTTTTCTTTGATCTGGGTTATGTGGGTCATTGTATCATCTTCATGGGCCTGGGTGCTCCACTCCCCCATTCGTTACCCTGTGCTGTGGTCTAGTAGGCCGTCTATCACTATGGTCTAGTAAGCCGTTTATCGCTATGGTCTAGTTGGCCGTCCATCACTATCGTCTAGTAGGCCGTCCATCTCTATGGTCTAGTGGGCCGTCTATCGCTATGGTCTAGTTGGCCGTCTATCACTATGGTCTAGTTGGCCGTCTATCACTATGGTCTAGTAGGCCGTCTATCACAATCGTCCAGTAGGCCGTCTATCACTATGGTCTAGTAGGCCGTCTATCACTATCGTCTATTACTATGGTCTAGTAGCCGTCCATCCCTCTCTTTGTTGCTTGTCGTAAAAATAAGCTGTACCTCGCCTATACGATCTACATAATACCAAACTCACTGAAGTCGCCAGTTCTAGATTTGTATTACATTATTTTGAGATACATTTTAAACTAATTTGTTTAAGCAGCAGGAACATGTATGACATTTAATGTGATATGAATCTGCTTCATGTTAATTTGGTTACCGAATTTGAGTTGTGTGATTATATTTGAGTTATGTGGCAGTCTGTATTGAAGCTGTGTAACTCACTGTAGGTGTAATTGCGTTGTGTGACTGTAATTTCGAGATGTGTAGCTGTATACGAGTTGTGTATTTGAACTGTCTAAATGTGTATTTGAGCTGTGTGACTGTGTATTTGAACTGTTTGACTGTGTATTTAAGCTGTGTGACTGTATTTGAGCTGTGTGACTGTCTGTATTTGACCTGTGTGACTACCGAAGCACCTGTACACTCAATGTTGCTGCACGCGTGAAGCTGATTAATGCAGACAATAATTAGGTTGTTTCGGTGCTGTCTAGCCAAACACTTGGGACCGAGACTTTTTAAGGGCGAGCCTTTAAACCCCCCAGCTTTTCTTTAAACCCCCCAGAAATGAATTATGATTATGTGATGCATCAACTTGTAAAAGTTTATTGT